ACCTGGGACCTCACCTGGCACACCTGAGATCACACCTCGCACACCTGAGACACACCTGGGACCTCACCTGGATCACCTGGGACCTTACCTGGCACACCTGAGATCTCACCTGCCACACCTGGGACCTTACTTGGGTCTCACCTGGAAGACCCGGGGCCCATCTGGAACACCTGAATCCCACCTAGGGGACACTCGGGTGTCACCTGGGACTCACCTGGCACCACCTGGATCCCACCTGAAACCTCATCTGGCACATCTGAGACCTCACCTGGATCACCTGGGACTCACCTGGCGCTGCTCGACGCGGGTGGAGCCGTCGAGGCGCAGGTAGATGTGGCCGTGGAAGGTGAGGAAGCGCTCGAGCACGGCCACCACCTGCCTGCACACCTGGGGCACACCTGGAACCCACCTGAAACCTCACCTGGCACACCTGGGACTTGGGTCTCACCTGGCACACCTCAGACACACCTGGCACCTTATTGCAACACCTGGGACTCACCTGGACACCTGAGACCTTATTTGGGTGTCACCTGACACACCTGGGACCCATCTGAGACACCTGAATCTCACCTGAAACCTCACCTGGCATATCTGGGACTCACCTGAGACCACCTGGTTCCCACCTGAGACCTCACCTGGGATACCGGAGGCACACCTGGGACCTCATCTGGCACAGCTAGGGGACAACTGGGACCACCTGAAACCTCACCTGGCACACCTGAGACACACCTGAGATCTCAGCTGGCACACCTGAGACCACCTGGATACCAATTGAAACCTCACCTGGCACAGGTGGGATCTCACCTGGGACACCTGGGACTTACCTGGGACCTCACCTGGCACACCTCAGACACACCTGGGACCTCACCTGGATCACCTGGGACTCACCTGAGACCTCACCTGGGATACCTGGGACTCACCTGGGACCTCACCTGGGATACCTGGGACTCACCTGGGACCTCACCTGACACATCTGACACACACCTGGGATCTCACCTGAAACCTCACCTGGCACACCTGGGACTCACCTGGCACACCTGGGACCTCACCTGGCACACCTGAGATCTCACCTGCCATACCTGGGACCTTACTTAGGTCTCACCTGGAAGACCCAGGGCCCATCTGGATCACCTGAATCCCACCTGGGGGACACTCGGGTGTCACCTGGGACTCACCTGGCGCTGCTCGACGCGGGTGGAGCCGTCGAGGCGCAGGTAGATGTGGCCGTGGAAGGTGAGGAAGCGCTCGAGGACGTCGAGCATCCGCGTCATCTGCGTGAAGATGAGCACGCGGTGCCCGCCCGCCTTCAGCCGCCGCAGCAGCACGTCCAGCGTCTGCAGCTTACCTGCAACAGGTACCTGGAGTCACCTGGGGGGCACCTGGGGGGTTTGGGATACACCTGGGGCACACCTGGGCACACCTGGGGGTGCTGGGAGGGGGTTTGAGGGGATTTGGGAGGGATTTGGGGGGGATTTAGGTGGATCTGGGACACACCTGGACACACCTGGGGGGGGTTGGGATACACCTGGGGATACCTGAGACACACCTGGGCACACCTGGGGGTGCTGGGAGGGGATTTGAGGGGATTTGGGGGGGATTTGGGGGGGTTTCTTTGGGATCTGGGGGCACCTGAGGGGCACCTGGGGGGGCTGGGAGGGGGTTTGGGGAGGATTTGGGGGGCATTTGGGGGGATCTGGGGCACCTGAGGGGCACCTGGGGGG